TGGGTTGTTATTAAGTAAATTTATTTTATGCATGTTAACGTTTGCCCAATTATGCCTTACTTTTAAGGTTGTTCTATTCATTTTGAAGAGCTCCGCAAACTGGTCATTTACATACCGTGGCACAGTTCCTTCATACAAGTTTTTGCTTATATCCTTTGAATTCCAGTTTTTGGAAAATTGTTTATATAGTGCAGATGACTCAAATAATGAGCATCAGTATAGCCATTCAAGCTTCTTTTCGACGTTTCAGCTTGTTTTACTACTCTACTGGGATAGGCTAAACAGAACAAACTGTCTTTAACGTGGGTCGCTGATCATGGGAGTATCGAAGGAAATTCGCTAGACAAGATAAGATTAAGCGGATTCCTCCCCTCTTTGAAGGTTCGCTTAGAGTTTTCTGACAACACTGAGGGCCCCCAAAATATGTACGTACATATGTACAATATGTATGTGACAGCAGAAATAATTTTGAAAATTGGCTCCATTTTTAAATAATTTATGACGTGCATGGTATACATAATAAATTTGCTTTATTATTCTTAAAGTGTATCCGAATCCACAGAATTTAGTATAATTTATTTTTCTCTTCGAGTAATTCCGCTCAAAACATGGCTTCAAATAACTTTACTCCATGGTGTGATTTAATAATTTTAGAGTGATTGCTTGCCTTTGTCGATAATATAGATTCTATTGGCCTAAGTAAATGTCTTCTCTAGATTAACCAAGAAAGCAAAGCATGTATGCCCGATAGGGAAAGAGGACGCGACTAGATCGATTCACACCAAATTATGATCATCTTTGAAAATAAAGAACAAAAAGAAAACTCTAAATTACTTTTTTCAATAAAAATTTTGATTTCAATACATGCATACATATATAAATATGAACTGATTTTTACAATAAGATGCTACTTGCTCCCACCACTCATAAGGTCATAAAATTCGAACGGCAGCTAAACTGGCTACACTTATGCAATATAGAAGCTCTAGTTTCGAGAATTACATCAATCCTAAAACCCTATGCCCGAAGTAGGTATTGCACGGTGCAAGGGTAATAAGATTTCTCAACAACTTACTTACCAAAAATAAAGGTTTCATTAGTGGGAAAGGAAAATTTCACGCTGATATTGCCAAAATGACCAGGTGTGCGCCAGTGGGAGCATGAGATGAGTTGATGCGGCTGCTGCTACCAGCACACTTAGGTCAATAGGCCTATTGTGATATCGCTGAGGCTCCTGCCTTCACCTTCTCAGATGATCGAACCATTATATAGGCAACAAGGTTTCCAATATTCGCTGGGGCTATATATGCGAGACAAGGGAAAAAGTGGGCCCATACGCCGAACAAATGAACGGGCGGCTCGAATTATTATCAGCGAGTCGTTTATACACTCGCTATCAGAAGGACTTGGAAAATGTGTCAGTTCTCGAATGGTTAGAACAAGCCTTCTGAAAACAGGATTGATTCAATAAGGCACGAAAAAGGCGTGGCTTTCAAAAAAATAAAATAAAGAATCGCATAAAGCGTCTAACTTTGAGGTAAGCAAAGTTGATTCCTTTTAGAATATCAGCATAAATAAACTCTTAAAATTCTCTTCCGAAAAAAATATCTCCCATCTTTCAAAACGTATATTCACCCTCCTCGTACAGGTACTTGGTATACAAGATGTGACGTTATTAAGGCGACGTGCTGGAGAAGGATGCTACCCATATTGCATGGTCTGGCAGCTGATGGTGTTGGCGAAACATAAATATATTCGAAACTGTACTTTTAACTTCCTTAGGCCGAATTATCGGTTACAAGACAATGGGCTTGTCATAACTATTGCTTTCACTTGCTAAAGCAATGAGCTACTTTAGAAACAACAATATTGATATTTAAGATTAGCCAGCACAGTCTCCATATGTAAGCCCTAACGAGCATTTAGGCTATTTTAAAAAGTAAGATAAGGCAACAGGCATTATACTAAAAGTAGTATTGAAGAATGTTTTCAAGAGTGGAGCGCCATAACTGCTGGCGAAGTTTGGTTTTTAAATATGATAATTCCAAAATCGATTGGGTGCAAGGTACTCTTAGTTATGGCTGAGGTGAGTTCGGAAATTGTAAAATAATAATTTTTTCTCTTTTTTGTTTTTGAATTTAAATGCCTTCGAAATGTTGAACATATTAGGTGTAGTAAAATGAAATCCATAATTTGTGCATGAAATTGAATGTTTTAATTTTTTCATTTCGTATCCAACCTTATTCAAATGGTTCCAAACGATTTTATTGTACGATCTTTAGATTTTGGGCAAGCGAAACAGTGCTTACATGACGATCGGACTCGACAATATCGTGATGTTATCAACATTTTCGAGAATTGGCCGCCTACCACTCTGTGAAGCTTTTTTTACATCAAAATTACCGGAATGAAAACGAAATGTTGCATGATTGACTGTAACAGTATCAGGAACATATATGGATTACTTTTTACAACACCACATAGAAAAATTCGTTTTAGCTTTAACATTTTCCCTTCAAAATAAAAAATCAATCAAGCAAGTGATGTGAAAGTATAAGTGAATAGAGATAACTGTGTCTGCCGGATTCAATCTCGGCTCGATCTTTACTATATTAATGAGAAAAAAACGCGAGAAGACGTTGTTCGGCGTTACTGAAATTATATTTACCAAACTACAACCAGCGAAAAAATGCCAAGATCAGATTCGGATACTGTGTTAGAACTGGTTTAACGAAAATTTTGCAAGTTAGAAAAGAAAACCCCGAATGAAAAACATTTTTAAAACTACTTTAACGGAATGACGACATCATTCATTGAGCCGGTCACAAAGGAATGGAGATCGGTTAATGATGAATGTCGAGTAAAATTAAAATGTTTTTAAATATGAAAAATCAAAAGTACTAAAAATAGCAATACACAACACACCAGCATCGATGAATCAAAATTGGGCGTAAAAACACATGTCCTGAGCACTTGCAAGCATTTCAAAAAAACTCATGGTGGTATGTAAGCAAGTGCATTAATGTATGTTCATATATATGTAGATATATTTTTTATATACAAAATATATACATACATATATTTAGGCAAGCATATTTTGTATTCATATTATTTACGAACACATGCCGCACATATGAGTGCTTTTACACTCTCGCACATGTCAATACGAATATAGAAATAGTATTAAGCAGCTGCTAAAACAGCTGAAGCAATTAAACTGACTGAACCGCACATATACTCACCTACATATATATATATATAAATATAGATATGTATACATATGTATGTGTGTGTATAATTTTGTACATAAATTCAAATATTTGGCGTCTGGCGTACAACCACTGTAGTTACCCCCCATTCTACCCTTAGACTGAATCATAAAAGACTACTTCGATCATTTAGAGGAAAAGTTTGGTGGATAATACTTCATACTACGAGAAAACAAAAATATTTAGCAAAAATAAATTTTTTGGAAAATTTGCATTTATAGATACACTTGTCGGTAAGGTTTTCTCAACTTCTGCTGAAAATTACATGCGTAAATTGGTATTCATAAAAGTGGCAAAATTGTGAATTAATTAAGCTTTATATGTGTATATTGGTATATATGTAGCTATGTATCTTCCTTAAACCAGTATTTTAAGTAAGTAAGAATGATTCGTTATCGAGAAACATAAAGTATTTTCGTATCTGAGTCCATGCCAGTCTGTATTGGCAAATATTTCGATCCATTTAAACCTATTATTTTCATTTTATTGACTCAAATGGTTAGCTAAAAGTATGCTATGTTTTGGTTCTATATTTTTGATTAGAATCGAGGTACCGTAAAATATATTGGAACCTTTCCTTTGAAGGAGGCTTGAGGATAGAGACCTTCTTTGGGCTGTTCTACCTGCATTCGTGATAGTTTTAAATGGAGAATAAAAATATTTGTGAGAAATCTTTGCTAAAGTTCTGTTGATTGTTTTCGCGATATATGGTAATTTAAAGTGTGGAGGTAGAAAATTTTCGAAAATTTTTTAGTCATATTTTGTCTTTTAAATGTTTTTTATCGTCAACAAATTTGGTTTTACGTCTATTACTAGGCACTAAATGTAATTTTTTCAAAATTAATTGATTTATTTCTGCCATGGAAATGATGTGGGAACTTGGGTTTAACGACCAAGAAACTGAATGCTTCTGCCAGGTTGGAGTCCATCTACTTTTTCCTTCGCTGTAAAGCTAGAATGGGCCGAAACGTGGAATAGAGATAAAAATTAAGATATAAATTGATGGGCCGAAAAGCGACTAGGGCCCTTCTATGACCACGCCAATAACCAAGCTAGCTTTAAACTCAATGACTACAACTCTGTATTCCAAGCAGATATTGTGGGCATTACTGAAGGTGCCAAAGGGGCAGCCGCTTGGACCGGAAAATCTATCAAATATTCTGGTAGGCTGTCAAGCTAAAATTAAAGCCACAGGGACATATTTCACACGGATGTAAAAGTCAATGAAAAAGCAGACGAGCTGAGACATGCTGGCCCCACTGGCAATGCTGCTACCATCGAATGCCTCAGACTCTTCATCACCTCCAAATGTTGTTTAAGCCAGTGGACCATAGATCAACACTTCCAAAGTATAATTTACCACTAAATTATAGTGGGGCAACGTGTATAACACGGGGGGCACAATGAGCCAGCTCAAAGGCTTCGGAGCGGCCACTAGCAATCGGGTGCTTAATTTACCTCTTTCAACCAGCCGTCAACCAAAATTATATGATCAGCGGTAGCAACTTTAATGAAGAAGTTTGGGTGGATATGGAAATACATACACGTATTTCGCCGTATACCATTTCATGACCAACAGTACCTTTTTGACCAAAAATATATTCAGAAAGTGGACTTCATTTAGTCTTTTTTCATTTAAATAAAATTTATAATCCATAAAGATGTTAAACTCGGCTACTTGACTCAATTGAAATGTCGGTAAATATTGCAAATTTTTATCTTATTACTCACCATAATAAAATGTGCCAAAGAGAAAAGTGCCGCCAGTGCTAATGTCTACTAAATTACAGATGCCAAGAGGCGTATATTTTCGTACATATGGATGTAGGTATGTTTTCGCAGTCCATAAGTGCTCAGCCCGAATAATGAAATGAAGTGTGTCTCGTGATCGATTGCTTGTCAATGTGATGTATCAATCGCGTTGAAGTTATTGTTGGAGCTGGCGATGATTGATAAGGAGTCCACGGCGAAAAAGCACATTCACACAGATCCCAAGTAATTTATTAGCAATACATTTAGTATAACAGACGTGAATTCTTGAGCCGCAAACACTTGATTAAATAACGTAAATATGCGCATACATATGTATTTTTATATGTATGTTTGTTTGTGTGCTTACGACTTTAATTTTTGAACGAAATTCTAATTCATTTAACGATTAACTAGCGCTGCAACCAAATGCTCGTATATTATTCATGCCTTTTCTAAGTGTACTAAATAATTTTACTTTTTAAAACATACAAATAGCATTTTTTTTTTTGAATTTTCATTGTTGTTAATGTTATTGGTTTACGCTTGAGAAGCACTTAAACATTAGAGCGCCTATTGCTTTTAAAATTGCACTGCTGCTTTCCATCAATTCACTGTCTACTTTGCAATATTTTCCAATTGCGTTTGTATTTTAAAAATAATTGAATTTGTGAACTTTCTTGTTTTATATTTTCGCACCAATATTTATACATACATATGTGTGCATAAGTATGTGTGTATATGTATGTTCAGAGATTCGAACATATTGATAAACGAGTTAAATGCGGCAGTCAATTGGATGACACAATGAAACAGCTGCAGCTGTTTTCTATCCTACGTTTTCTTTCTACGTTATGTAGGTATGTTTGTATGAACTTTTCGGACAGAGCGCACCAAACGGCGTCGCAATTGAATTCAAATGCAGAAAGCGGAAGAGGCAGCGCGTCTCTCTCAATTATATGTTGACTACGCGCTTTTTGTGTGAACTTTCAGACACGTGCAATTATTTCTTGAGCTTACATGTACTTTTTGTTGGTTCAGTTTGCATGTTTTCACTTTATAGTCACTTTGATTTTATATTTTGGTTTTTTACTGCACAACTTCACTGTTATTTATTATCTCTTTGCGATTTTAATTTTGTTATTTTTTTTATTCTTGGTTTTATTTTGCTTGGAAAAATGTGCTTACATTTAGTGTGTTAATTTATTTTTATTTTACTAAAGAGTAATTTTAAAAAGTGCTTATTATTATTATATTTTCATTTTCTTTTTCATGTCAAAGTTACGTATTATTTTTATTTTTGTAATATTGTTTCACTTCCTATGGTTTTTATTTTACTTTCTCATAAATGCGGAATTTTTTTATGAATATAAAAACAGCTGTGTTGACATGTGTTGCGTGAGTTTTCTAAATAGAATTCTCTGGTCCGGCATATGGCGCTCTCAGTTCTTTTGCACTGTACTATCTTACCATTTTGAAATTATGTAGTTTATTCCTTTTTCTCAACTTTGTTTCACATTTTCGTTATCAGCCGCATTGAAGGATACGAACACACTCGAGGAGCACCAACACAAAAGACTGAGGACACAAACTTTCCCGTTTATTGCCATTCACGAACTTCGCACTCAATAATATCCAACTCACGGTTTCTAAAAATAGACCTTTCCACAATGTACTTCAGAGACCTTCAGGTGCGGAATGAATGAAATATTTGGTAAGCATCAACAAAGCCGGTTGGTTCACTTGCTGTGGTTCACCCATTCACTTGTTTTTGTTCTTCATCCGCTACACAACCGGCACCAGCGCGCTTTCCGATGGCACTGAAATCAACTGAGCCGATCACTGTTCGCAATAGCACAACACCGAAACGTCAGTGTCACGTTCTCATCGGAATTGCTATTGGTTTTGTTGCATCGTTTTGCGTTTGCAAATACAAAATGCAAAACTCAAAGCATGCACACGAAATGCAACACAGCACACCGCAGACGGAGCAATGAAACAATTGCTGAGCAAGCTGTACTATTGCCGTCAGTCGGCTTTTATATTAAACAATAAATTCGAGTCCACGAGTGGTGCAGTCTGAAAGGCGCCGTTGAGTAGATTGTTTATTTTGACTTGGCACCCGGCAAATTCTTCCGCTGGCACGTACTCACGGTTCGACGTCGCGTTGATGTTTGGCATTTAGATTTTGGTCGAAAAATGATTTTGGCTAAAATGACTTTCTGTTACAGCTTGCCAATCGCGTTGGTCCTGTCGTGCCATGCTCTCTTTAAGTTTTACTCTCTCTCTCTCTCTCTCTCTTACTGAAGCCTTGGCCAATGGTTGTGTGTGTGTGTGTTTGTTCGCTCTTCGGCATGCTGTCGTTTCAACCATCTGTTCTGTCTCCCACAGCAGTTGGAAAATTGCTTTTCATGACGCATGCGCGTTATCAATCCATGCATACAAACACACTGAATCTTATAAGTATGTTTGTATATTCATTAATAGCAATTGGGTTTGTCTTCTTGTATTGCAATGAAAACAGCTGTTCCAGCGCTGATGAGTGAATACGGTGTGTTTGTGGCAGCCGCTTGAATGCCTTCGGCGCCTGCCTGCTCACAGCTGCTGTGCACCTTTCGCTTACATTCTTGTGCGTCTTGCCAGTGAGTTCGCCTTTCGCATTGTATATACATATGTAAGTATGTATGTACGTATGTATTAAAATAGAAATAAAATAAATGTATGTATGTATGTATATACATGTAGGTATGTATGTACATATGTATGCAATAAGTGACAGCCATCGATGAACATTCAAGAGCAGCCGGTGTTTTCCATACATTTTTGTTGTTTCTTTTCTTTTATTTTTGCTTTTGCTTTTCTTCTGCTCGCTTAAACATTTGCGATTGCAGCCACTGTGGTTATGTGGTTGATCTGGTATTATCGATGTTATTTCATATGAATGAATGGTTAGCCATAGCACTTGGACAAATGCTGTTGTTGCAAGCAAATCATGGCATTGCGAAATTTCATAGTTGCAACAGTTTAAGAGTACCTTTGTAGATATGCATATATGTAGATATATAAAGTTGCATACTAGTGAAATGCCTGCATTTATATATGTACACACACAAAGCATATACATACATAAAATGATCTAAACGACGCTAAACGTCAAACATTGCCGGATAACTGACATCTATTCGGAACAGGATTTACGCTTATAAAAAGCAACAGATTGTAAAGCTGATGTCGGCAAAGTGGCCAAAGTCAGGATCCGTTGGTTCGATTCCTGCCAAAAGAAATCCGATAAGGAGTTGTTGTGATCTCCGAAACAGCCGTCACGTCTACCATAAAAAATCATAACAGTTGATTTCTTAACATAACTTCAAATATTGATTTTTATATAATTGACAGGCGTTTGAAAGTAAACTATTTTTTTAACAGAAAATCGTTACCTCTCGTTAGCGAAAATGTTGTTATAAAGGTATAGAAAAATCGTGGCAGAACAGCCTCGAAATTTCAATGCAATCAACTTCGGACACGTCTAAAACCTTATGTCCTTTATTCTATAAGGTTCAAATAATTCTTTTAATATCTACAGCGGTGTTGTCCCTTAAGTGCATGGATAGATAGGAATCATGGAAATGCTTACTATTTTGTGACTTTAACTTTTTCCTTTAGATATTCCATACATACATCTGACTTTAAAGTCATTATGCTTGGGTATGCTTTGCAATGCGAAAAGTCTGCGGGTTTTTCGCTGTCCAAGAGATTATTACTGTTTCCAACGGCTGAGAGCTGAAGTAAAGACATTAACGAAGAAAAAGGTCGTAAAACGAAATTGTTTCATAAGTTTTCAGAAAAAAGATTGAGAATTTCCATTCATTCTTAGTAGAACACTAAATGGGGCTAAGAATTGATTATTTTATTATAATATAACCATGGAAACTACACCTAGAATTTTCCTATGAGTACCAAGAATGGGGAAATTAATAAGTTTCAGAGGAAGAGCTGCAATTTAAATTAGTTAATGCAAAAACGAGAAAAAATTTTTAAATGATTTCCATCCACACATGATTTAATACCCCGGGTTCCAAATCACAAGCTGTTATTAGAGCAATTATCAGGTTCATTCCCATAAGTTAGAGTCTGTTCAAGAACAATTTTTACTTTTTGCGTTAAGAGATTTCCGATGGAACTCTATGCTAAATCTTCCACTCTATACCAACCGTTTAAAGCTTCTAAATCTATCTCCTCGCGGAAGTTGTAGAGAAATGTCAGGCGAATTGTTCATAGTGAAACTTCTTAACGGATCAGTTTAGGCCTTTACTATTAAAGTCAATTAAAAGAAATTATGAACTGAAGGATCCCTTTCGTCGATTGCTTCACAATTCTAATTTTTATTCCACCACCTTCGATCTTCCAAACTTACTTCTTAGCATCAAAAACTTTCCTTAATTCTCGCAAAAATTAAATTTAAAATTCCATAATTAATAAATTTTATCAGTTGAATAATTATTTATTCTGTAGCTGAACAATTTTAAATCTCGGCGCTTAGCAAACGATTCCCAATCATGACTTCCGTACCTAAGGGGATGTCGCCTCTCGTGTCGGTTGGGCGAGTGGAGGATATTCGTTGGGTTTATTATTAATAGGACCTTAACATGGTAAACAAAGCTTTAGTAAAATAAGGGTTCTTTGACCACCTCATGCCCATAGCTTTACTTTTTTTAAGATTTAAAGGCATTCGTTTCAGGGGCAACTGGCCGAGAATTTCGAAAAAGTCGACAAAATTATTTTTTTCTTAAGGGGGTAACCTGGCTTAGAGGGTCAACAAAATCGATTTTTTGAAACTTATCTCATGCGATTAGAAATATATTCAGAAATATTTCCACAAAATTTCAGAGTCGAATTCCTAATCGTTCCGCAAAAATGACCTCTGAGAGACAATGCGCTCAGGAGACTAAATAAGCGGGCGCGAGAACTTTAAACGCGATTTTATCAAAACAGTGTTTTGTGCACACAATTAAAAAAGTTTTAATTGTCGCACTTTCATAATTGATACCTTTTTTTACAACTCATAGTGTAGGCTTCCATGTGAACCTAAGAAATCAGATTAAACAAATTTTTCCAATTCAAGAAGTATTTTTGTATATTTATAAATTACTAATAATAATTCACTATATCTAAGAATTAAAATAATTACATTTTATTAACGTTTTACAAAAAATTATCTTAAAATTACTTCAGAAAAACGAAAAATTTTTTATAAAAAATCATAAAATAAATAATTTTACACATTTCTTCGAATATCTTAGGTTCACAAAGAAGAGCAACTTCTAAGCTACAAAAAAAGTATTCGTTTTTATGTTTCAGATGAAAACTACGATCGCTATCGTGTTCACAAAATAGACTCTTCGAGCGAGAAGTGCCACAAACAAATACGAATTGTTATTGCTTAACAGTATCAAATAAAGTGAAAGTAAATTCTTTTTTTTTGCAAGATTTGTGTATCTATGACCTATTTCAAAAGTACTTGAAACATTTCATACGTAAGGCAACCTAAAACACTGTGCCGAATATGATGCAGTTTTCAGCGTTCTAAGCCAGGTTCCCCCTTAAAAGATGCTTTAGGCTTTCAGATATATTATACCAAAAGATGGATGTCTATGTCTATGGAATGTCTATAAACACAAAATTTTCATTCGACGGCAGTGCTTCGCAAGTATGCCCCGAGCACCTTTTTCAGGCCCTGAGCGTTTTTCTCGAAATCACTTTTTTTAAACTGGCCAAAGACATAACTCGAGAAAATCTTCACCAACTATTACGAAGGTTTTCTTCAAACGTGCACCAATTCTCAAAAAAAAAAAATATCCCGCATACGTCTCTTGCTGTTGTTATATAGAAATTGAAAAATTTAATTTTTTGGTCCAGGATATTAATTAAGGAGCTCGCGTTTTCGACCCTAGACCCATTAGAAATTCAAGAAAATATAGAGGTTAGGTTGCCCTACATCTTTTTACTACAAGGTGGCAATGCTTGTTCTTCGGCTTACCTTGATAAAACAAAAATGAAGAAGGTTTCTAAACGAAATTACATTATTTTTGATTTGAAAATAGGCTGAATCTTTCAAAACTGTACCTATTAAATTTACTTTAATATGATAGAAATAGCTGAAAAGATACGTTACGTAAAGGTCAGGTTTTGAGAAAGGAAAAATGGTAAATAAAGGTAAATAAAGGTAAATAAATTCTTATTGACTTTGAAATGATTAAAAAGTTGTCATAAGAAGACTATTTGTAAATAAGTATATGCTCGTAGTGCTTCTAGGGCGATTTGAAAGATAAGTTAAATCGAGAAATTCGTGATTTTTATGTTGCATCGTACTAAGTATATGTATTTGTGCAAGAGCTGTATATGTGTGCATTATGCACAAATTAACAAAACAAAAATGAAACAAATCAAGCATAAATTTCCCCCAAAACTGACGGCGACCATCAGCATCGCAAACAAGATATGCCAATGACGATTCAATATGCGGGGAGGCAAAAGCAGACAGAAGCTTTGTGCGACACAAAAGTTCGCGGCGCAATCAGAACAAAAACATGCAATCCCGCACTTGTGTGTTGTGCTCTTATAAGCCGAAATTCAAAGCAGCAAACAGCCAGTGCCAGCCGTGCTAACAACGACAGCAACAAAAACAACGAAAGCATCAAAATGCCAACAGCAGTCGCGCCAAAATACACACAGATCTGAGAACGCAGAACAAAAAGTTTACACATAAACCCGCATACGAGCCAACTATCCACCTACCCACTTACCCAACCAATCAACCAACCCACATTCCATACTCCGCCAGTTGGCGCACAGCTGCTGGAGTGCCACAATAACAGCAGCAGAGCAAGCACAAATTCAAAGTCAGCATCAGCCGGCAAATGATGGAAAACGCCATTAGGTGAGATTTGGCCATACGAACAACAATTGTGCAAGAATAAATGAGAAGCGACACCACACAGAAGACTCACGGTCGGCAATATCCAATGTTGGACTCACAAAGTATGCATGTAGTAGTAACAGCAGGATGGGCCAATTTGAAAATATCACAAAGTGTGTAATACTAGAGTTGCCAGGTTATTCATATTTGAAGAAGACGAATCACCCACCACCAATGGA